TGTGGTTTAACATTGATCCTAATTAAAACAAGCACAGAATGGCGAGCTCACTGATGATGCCGGCGAAACTAGTCCACAGTCCGAATTTGGAAATTATCATGCATACAATGCACTCCTTCGATTAACGATTGTGAAGCCTCAAAGGTTTTCCCATCCAGACAGGACAGCAGTTTCGACCTTCAACAAGATTCATAGCTGTCTTGCAAACGGTAGCAACATATTACGACTACGCACTCCCGGATTCCAGTGGGTCACAGGGTAGACGATACTTTCAAGGCCCCCAGAAGATTACAAACCAATACCTATTCGGTTGCTCGGACAAAAATCAATTGGCGACCAATGGAATTGGAGCTCTAGAGAAGTTAAGCCGTCATTTCATTTTTGCCCATAGTATATCAGTGCGTGGTTAGTGTGTGAAAATGTTTTAGTCCTGAGATCATTCATCCCCTTTAGTGTTTAAACTGCGAAGCTAGTGAGAATTTCGAGCAGAACGTTCTTAATGTCAACCATAACTACAAACAATTGAAGGTGGCGCAATTAATGAAGAGGTAGACCCATAGTAACCTTTGATCTAGATAGCTTCTGCAATTTTTCAGTGGCCACCAGTGAGATGTTTCACGCGATAAAGTCAACAAGCCCTCGATCTAACTCAGTCGATGACCCAGAAAGATAACGCGTTTGTAATAGATAAATGTAGAGTAACAAAAACCATAGTACCTACCGGATCCATGAACTGTAACTATAACCTTATCGAATGGAGACATCGCATAATGGTAGAGGGGACACTGCTTAGAACTGAGTCGAATGGTACCTAAACCATGGAAAGAGAATATCACGTTCGCAACAAGCCTGAAAGCAATTGAACGAAAAAAACCCAGTTGTAGGGAAACTAGGATGCCCCATTGCAGTTAATAGGCCAAACCAGTCAGACGAGACCGAAATTTCAAAGATTGTGAACTGCAATCGCCAGATGTCAAAATAGAAAGACATTGAATTTCCAGACAAAACAGATAAAATATTTAGGGTCGGAGTTATCTTAATAGATGCAATGAAGTGCCTAAGAAGATTCAATGGGCAACAAAGCAAGCCTGCAGACTAAACGCAACCGATAGTTATTTGAGACTTTACAATTTCCAACAAGTTATAAGTAGTTAAGCAATTACATATGGAGATGTGGTCTAGCGGTCAGCTCTACTTACTTTCCCACCCAGATGAGTCGCAACCAGACAGTTTATTATCTAATTGCCTACCAGGCGGACACAATCCGGGCACATGCGCCACTGACTCACCAAAAGACCCACACCACCTCGAACAAGCAAGAATCTGGAAATACGGCTGAATCCGGTTGTAATGCAGCCATTCGGATTTTATAGGAAGTTCATCCTCCTTCGTTTCATGTGAAAACGGACTGAGCCTTCGTCCATCATACGATGGACATCCTCGGAGTTGGATCTTCTTGTAGGTTTCGCAAGGATGTAAAAATCCTGTCAAAATTTTGACTCCGAGGGCGGACACAGAATATGGATAAAATAAACTGTGCAGTTACGCCTAAACTCGTGAGCCCATAACCAACCTTTAGGTGGGTTTTGTGATTTCACTAAGTATCATATGCCTCGGGGCCTGTAGATTGGTCAGCATAAATACTAACAATGTAATATGCAGCCGAATATATGTCAAAGCAGAGGTCGGCCCCAAAATTAAGCACCACCAAAGAATCTCGAGTTCCCCAATAGTACTTCGTTCGGACTAGGACAAATCGGTGATTTCTCAGCCTTTCGTCTATATTGGAACGTTCAGAAGTTGAGAACGATAAAACCGGCTCCCCAAAGTAGCAGCCACATTTAAAGAAGCAATCAATTCCAGCTAATCTTTCCATTTTGGAAAAACTAACCTTGCACCCAAATAGAGTGCACATAAACTTAGTAGTCTTTTACTCACCCCACCAGTGTGTCCAGAAAACTAACCACAGGACCACAACTTATTGTCAACTTCCCTTAATTGTGCCTGGTACTTAAGAAAAGTTACACGAAGGAATGCTCTCAGTCACACAAAATAAAGACAAACCCAAAACTTGCACAATAAATGCAATCGAGTCATTGATCTAAAGGGAAATCCGTAAAGGCAAAAAATAGACTGCAAAGCAGGCTTTACTGATTGGATGCAGTGCATTAGGCCTCTTAGACACGTCGAAACTTCAGTTGACAAAGCAGACAAGCGAACTTAAAACAATCACAAATTAGGATTTTTGTCCAACGTATTTAAATGATTGAGGATCCGTGATAAGAAACCGGACCTAAAAAATCAACTAGAGGCACTAGGAAGCTAGAAAGATATGATAGAAAAATTTGCTTAGAGCTGAAAAGTTCATCTCGAGGAAAACAAGCGAATAAGTTCAGAATAAAAGTAAGCCAAATATGTCTATTCAAAAATGTAATTTTAAAATAAAAATTTTCATTGATTCAAGAATGCTATTTTAATGACAAAAGATAAATGCCTAAAAGGAATCAAGAAAACATAATGCCGCAGGCAATATGAAAGGTCAATTATTTTTTGGCGTTGATTATATCAATGAATTCGGGTTTCAACGAGGCTCCACCCACAAGAAAGCCGTCAATATCCGGTCTCGAGGCTAAATCCTTGCAGTTCGCACTAGTAACTGAACCTAAAAGTACAAAAAAAATATACAAATATAAAGTTAAGGTAAGAAGAGAAACTGGGTTTTGATTAATATCCTGATATAACACTGTTGGGGGGAGTTTCATTTTGTATGAAAGTGCATAAAGAAGAGATTTTTAGGTCGATCTCACCAGAAGGGGACGGCTAAATCCGGTTCGGATTTTATACGAAATTCATCCTCCTTCGTTTCAGGTGAAAACAGACTGAGCTTTCGTCCATCACACGATGAACATCCTCAGAGCTGGATCTCATTCTTATATGTTTCGCATTAACATTAGGGCCTAAACGTGGTATCAAAGCCAAACGGCTTCAGTATAATGGGATTCAACCGTCCTCTTCTGGTGAGATCGATCTACAAATCTCTTCTTCATGCACTTTCATACGAAATGAAAGTACCTCCAATAAATTGAGGACCAAAGGCATATACGGCTACAATAAATAATAATCTCTTATGAAAGTAACAATTATGCCCCCGCCTAATTCAGATACTTTTCCTAACCTTCTACAATGTGTTAGTCTTACGTCCCATGATTTCCGAGACAGAGGCGTTAATATATATAACCAGGTGAAAAGACGGATATCATAACCTAAGCAAAGATAATGTGGATTAAATCTGACGGCATCATTCCCGAGGGATTCCACACAATTCCAAAAAACGAATATATGAAGTACAATGCTAGAGATTAGTTTGTAAAATGTGCTTGGTCGACGGCACAATGCAGGAAAGATATTATAACTAGGCAGGGAAGGATAGTGCATGCCTCTTTAAAAGTCTCAAAGTACGGGAAAATATTCTTCTTAATAAATAACGATAATGAAGAAGTTGTTTGACCTTGTTTACGCAACTTTGTCATATTGGTAGAAAGACCTAGAGGAAAGCAGCTAGTCCGGAGTCCATTGTATGCATGATAATTTCCAGTAGGACGTCGTACATTCCCAGACGTTTCGCCGGCACATAGGAAGTAATAGGTTTGGTATAATGAATATAAACAGGATAGATGGGGTGGAGACTAGAGCAATTTGGCTAAGAATATACGTGCTTGATCATAGACATTGTACATAAAGCACGTCTATTGTTGGCCAACTAGCTCTAGCCTCCGTCGCGTCTTCCCAGTTTCTATCCGTAATACCAAGTCTATGACTTCATACGCCTTTGTGTGCCAAACCACAAAAATTGTGGTTCAACATTGAACTAAATCAAAGCAAGCAGTATCATAAAATTTGTGCGTTGGCACACATAGGAAGTCATAGACTTAGTATTGTGAATATAAACAGGATAGACGAAGCGGAGACTAGAGCTAGTTGGCCAAGAGTAGGCTTGTTTTACCATAGATGTGGTCCGTGAAGCAAAGGTCTGACCTTGAGAATTACTCAGGGGCTTTAGCCTCGAGTAGCCCAGATAGGGTGGCAGGGGTCAAGTGAAATACTTGAACCAGGGAGATACGAGACGGATCCTACGGGGCAGGAGGGAGACTCTGATAAAACCTATGGAGGCGGGATTGCGTAACAATATGGCAGAATGGTCAATATTCCCAGCACAAGGGTAAAGGGGATAAGAAATCCGGCGTGTAGTGTGGAGAGATGTTATGAAAGCCATTCAAAAGGGCACATCATACCACATTTAATTAAGCAAGTAAAAAATATTGACAGTGAAAGCGTGATAGGAGAATATAGGTAAAGTGAATAGGCCAGTGCAGAAGATGAGATACCATAACTGTTTAGCACACATTTGGTCAAGGTATCGGCCTAACTTGTCTCTTTGACAATTTGTAGTGTGGTACTAAGACTGACAAGACTCACTGATGATGCCGACTACAATGGCGTCGAAACGTCTGGGAATGTACCACGTCCATGGTCCGACTGGAAATTATCACCATACTATGGACTTCAGAGTAGGTGCGTTCCTCTAGATCTTTCTGCCAATATGACCAAGTTGCGAAAACAAGGTCAAACAACTCCTATACAACGAAGGGAGGCTGCGACCACACGAAAGAACACACCATCTTGTAATTAATACCTTCGATTAACGATAGTGAAGCCTTAACTCTCTGTGACAATTACCTATTGCACAATATATAAAACAAACTTAGTCAATGTGGGATAGATGAATTTAAATTGAGTCTCTTTAGCACCATGCAGTCTATAGAGATGCGACTCGGTAATTCGTATTTAGGATGGGTGAAATAGACTAAGTGATGCATCAGAATGAGTTAGGCAAAGCGACTAGGGAGGATATAGGTTATAAGGTTTAATTAAAGGAATGTTACAAGTTGCTCGCCTTATTTTCATGGAATATTGGAGGTAAAAACGACCACATAATCTGATTAGCTAACTTACTTTTTGCTCTAAACTGAGAAAGAACAGTACGTCTATTTGTGTCCAATGATTACTCAAAATTAAATATGGCACTAGGATATTGGAACAATAAGTAAACTAGTGAAATGCATGAATTTCTAGATTACCAGAATGGCTAGCTTGACGGTGGATGCGAGATGCAGAACTCAATTTACCATGTTAGTTACTAGAAATACTTTTCCTCAATTTTGAAAGATCAAGAGCCCAAAGGCAATAGCATAGGATTACTCCTTGAGCAAACAGCATGAGGCTAAGTAAGAAAAAAGTGAAGCTTACCTCCATACAGTATACGGACACTGGCGGAGACAGCTGGAGAGACGTTTTCGGATAGCCATTTGCGCAAAGCAGCGTGCACCTCCTGGGCTTGTTCCGGAGTTGCTGTCTTACCAGTACCGATGGCCCACACAGGCTCATAAGCGATCACCACACGAGACCAATCATTGGATTTTATATTAGCTCGAAAAATAAGAAGTGAATTCGTAAAAATGTGAGTTCGTCAAAGATATCTATTCAGATTAATAGAGAATAAAATAAAAGGCTGGCAGACAAGCATAAGAAACACAAAATAACATTCCATAATATACAGCAGGTAACGGTTCGTAAGGTGCTGTGGAATCAGTGTTAAGACAGTCGACGGATATAAAGTGGCCATAAATATCAGTGCCTCGCAGAATAAGTAGGTATCAGGACTACAAATCACTATATCATCTTAAGCGACCTAGAGTGATAGAAACTACAGATATTTAGTCCTATAATTCAGTAAGGGTAATGTTATCAAGTGTAGCTTTCTAAAGAAACCGAACGACCGCACCTAAAGGGATGGGTTGGTGTAGATATTCCGGCAGAATTAAACAGTCTCAATGTCAAGTAAAATCTTACGCCGTTCATTGCTCATTGTTTATTCCTCTCATACTACAGAACCAGGGCCCATAAAGTGAACTACTTACTTTTTAACTGCTAATTTATAGGGGCGAAAATAAAGAGTCCTTCATAAGGTTAAAAACTATTTAAGATTGTATAAATCTAACAAATTATTCTAAAAAATCAATGGTTAAATGAGATTACCTGCGATTGCTTTCATCTGTCGGAAACAGACTGCTTCAGTGTTGCCAGCTTCTCGCTCATCCAGTTTCTCGCCAATGCAAGGTAAAACGGATAAACCCAAATCTAGTGCATGCCGGACTTTATCGCCAACCAACTGAAAAACAAATGTATAATTATAAAGAAAGTCTCATAAGAGCGAAACTCAAACTTAAAGCTCCTAGTGCTGGTTTGACCTCGTTTTCACATCTTGATTGGAGTGACAGGGAGACATCGTAGAACATTCGTAGTCCTGCCATAGAGTATCCATGATCATTTACCACATTAGACCATTGAATTGGTACGTTTGCCGGTATTACAGAGCCGCGTATCTTAGCACAGTTACAATGAGAGGTGATTGCGTGCATGTCTGACCAGGGAGATGACGAATCAACGTACAGATGCACAACCGACTAGACCTTTGGATTAGGTGTGACTGTCATCTTTAGATACAAGAGTATATGTTAAACGATTAAGAAATAGAAAATGGAAGCGATACACTTTCACACCAGCAGTTCTGAATCAAGCCAGACGCAGGGCCCCAGGAATGGGGTTGAGAAAGAGAATAATTTGATCATGGGTCTAGATTTTATGGAAAAGCAGACGCCTAGGCATGAGAATCATCCGTCTTAAATTCTCGAATATGACATAAACGGGGATCGTAATTGAAGGTTCATAGGCAGCCAGATTTCAGACAGCAAGACAATGATTTCCATCTGTAACAGGGACAACTGACAAGTAGGGCAGAGGGAAATTAATGAATTTCAGAAGCTATCACCTAGAAGCCCTGCAAAAGGCATCTAAAACGGTGAAGGCGATTACGCCTAACTAAGTCCACCTGAAGCAATATACTCTTAGGCGACATTGAAGGAAACGATAACAAAATTCTGAGAATAAGTAAATGGGCGGTATGAAGCGGAGTTGTGTGGACTATGTAGAAAACTAGGTTTCGAAAAGTCCCTTAATATATTTATGTTGGAGTACCTTTAATTTCGTTTGAAGAGGCGTCATAAGTTGGTTCCACTTAACTTAAG